AACCTTGAATTTAATGTTTTGATCTCATGTCAGCCGCGCACTACTTGAACCGATATTCATCTGATTTTTCAATTTTTCAAATTATCGTCTTTTTATCATTGGATGAGTTCTAGGTAAATATTATCAATTTTTTCGTGCTAAGGACGAAGGTAGGCCCAGGGGCTGAACGTGGAATCATATTCATCGTAAAATGCTTGATAATCGAGAGTTAATGATATGAGGATGAAGTTGATAGCAGTCCCTTTATCTAGAAATAACTCTTCTTCTTTAATATGAAGCGCTGGATCTTCAAGGCTTTTTATGTTGTCAATAGAGGGTATAACTCGACATGTCTGGATTTGTTGGAGAAACAGATCATGTCCTAGGAGAAAGAACGTGGAACCTCCAGTATTGGATTACACGACTCGCTTAGTTACGAGCCGTGCATTGTCTGCACGATAGACGCGTCAGTTGTTATTCACCGAGTAATGTAAGCGACGGGTCGTAGAGACGGCCTGTCAAGTGAAGTAGCAGTCATACTTCGATGACTCAAGTCATTGACAAAGTACTTCTCAGTTATACGAGGGAATGAGACACGTTTAGAATAGGGTTGATACGTGGAACACAGTTTGGTGGATGGGGACCTCTGTAAGACCCAACTCATATCACTACTGTGGGACGTCAATTCAATCTTGATTCATCTACGCCTTACACTTGCTGTGCAGTGTCTCTTATCAAGTTATACAGGTGATCAGACAACATATATTTATTTATTTTATTTTAGCATTTAACGTCCGCGGCGAAACTATCTTCCGATAGTCTCCAAAAACCTCCCTAGGGGCGAAGGACGCGCTGTCGAGCTAAGCCCGCAGCGAAATTTTCTAGCAGTTCTGCACTAATTACAATCCAGTCCAGTATCGCAATCTTATGCAATACTTCGGTCCCTACATTTATTTCCCCAGAGGAGACTACATTCCATTTATGATACTAGAGTATGCCACCGCCCCTTCCTCTGTGCCTAATAGCCAATTTATTGCCTCTTGAGTTCTAAGTTTTCCAGTATATCTTCTTACTGTCGCTCTTTTCAAGCGGCAGAAAAAAAAATGAATAGGGGACTTTGCTCGCCCACAAATGCACGGTGAGTAGCTGGTATGATTAAATCTCTCATGGTAATTCTCAAAGTCTCCGTGCCCTGAACGGGCCGAAAGAAGGTGGTGGAGTGCTTTCCTGGGAATCCGTAGCGTGGCTGGGCATTTTCCAGGTACTCCTGCCTGTATGTCTAGGTCTTTATATCTTGCAGGGCCGTGAATGTCCCACCAAGAATCTAAGAGTTGTTTCCTCATATCCAAAACATGACTTTTGACTGCCGCAAAGGATGGGTTGTTCTCAAGTACGGCCGGCTGTACTCTAAGAGCTCCAGCTTTCGCCAGAGAGTCTGCTTCTTCATTTGCCGGGACACCCATGTGACCGGGAACCCACTCCGCAAAAATAAAACCATTTGAGACATGAGCGAGTTTTTCACGCCTATTCCAGTTCTCCTGTGCGTCTCGAATTGACTTTGTTTCTTTTCGGCACGTCAAAGAAGAATTTCCATTCACAATTCCGACGGCTGTTCTGTTGTCTGTGTGCACTAATATATTAGTGGCGAATCGTGTGTTGGCAAATTGTATACAGGCAAAGAGACCTTGGCAAATGGCAATTATTTCCGTGTCGATAGGTTCGACCTTGCGGTCTATGCCGAAGCTCCCGGTCTTAACTTTTCTCCCTCCTTGGAAAATGACAAATCCGCCCCCCGCCTTTCCGTCAGCAGTACGCGAACCGTTCAGACAACATATATTTTAGTATGTAGTGTAAAACTTAGAGAGGTCTTCGTGCGAATGTCACGTGAATCGTCAAAAGGTAAAAGCGAATACAATAATGAATTGATTAATTGTCTCCTTGCTACGATGGACTCGTAGCACTATAATATCTAATTCTACCCTAATAACGCCCCTGATCATCACTACTAGACCGATGTGTGCTTGTGTAGATCGTACTTTCGCTTATGGGCTGGGTTCAGACTTATGCTTGCATAAGTCTGCTTACATGTAGGAATATATTAGAGATTATAAATACATTTTTCAAGATGATTGTTACAGGCTGCGCCTATCTCCTAGTGACTGTCGCACGGACATTTATCATTATTACGTCATTAGCCTTACTATCTAAAGAGATGTCCAACTTGGCCATACAAATACAGGGTTGCAACAAATATGGAAACAAGATATTGTTGCAGCAAGTCTCATATGGAATCATGGGCCGATACGACCCAGATTCGCTATGACGAGCTCACTCGGAATATCAAGGATATGGTGTAGTAGAATAGATAGTGAGGTTAGCGCATTGGGAGTTGGGACACCTTAAGTAGCCTCCCCTCGGTGGACAGTTCCGAGATGTATGTAGAAAATAGACAGTAATCGGCCACCATTCCTTTACTATATTGTTTTGTTGATCGCCCATCACAATGATGATGATTTATTTATCGTGTCAGGCTTACACCCTCCATCTAATGGACGTGACATGCACGGAGAACATCTAGAATACAAGTTCCTCCATTCTCCAGCAAAGTCCATCCGGTGCCTGACTTTTCCAGATACGTGCCTTACGCTAGTTAGATCGGGTCGAATAGGTAGGAACGCATTCACCATGATCCTAAGACCATGTGTTGAGGGAAAACCTTCGTGGGAAGACCTCAATAATTCCTCCTGTACTCTTTCACGACGAGCAGCCGTAGTCCCCACTTAGACAGGCCGTGTAGGATTCCAACCTACCACTTCTAGAAAGCACATACAGCACCCGACCAACTGTACCAACAGCCTGTTGAAAATCACATATCGTTCTTCCCAAATTCTCCCCTGCATTGCGCTCAATCCCCATTTGAGAGGGCTGAAATTCCGAAATCGAGAGCTCAAAACCGAGGCATCGGTGCCCCAGCTTTTGTCGTACATTGTTCGTTGTCTGAGTGAGGCTTCTTTGTTTGCGCCGTCTTTGGAATGTGTCGAAAAGTTGAGAATGTTGATGTTGCAATCGAGGTGCTTGTCTGAAATGAGGCCGAGCAATTGCCCAGTCCTGCACACAATGTTAGTAAGGTTGAAAGCGGAAGGTATATTACCTTTGATTTTGGAGGGTTGTTGGTGAGTCGTAAAGTCCTCCCAGTCGAACTCAATCGGGAAGTTGTTAGAAGACTGAATAGAAGAGACCCAAACTTAAACTTTTGATCTATCGTGCCGGGAACGGAACCTAGCCCATGTGTCAATCGAAATCGACTGGGCTACGCTCAGCAAGCTGCCGTTGCGAAGGATACGATTCTTCTTGGCTATCCTAGATATGCAGAGCATACTGAGCAATTACGCCGGCACCACTGGAAGGTGAAGAATTCGACTTTGCCGGCCATTTTTTCAAGATAATTCAGTTGTAGATAATTTTAGAGAGGAGGGTCCGAATCTAAACCATGTATGTATTTTTAAAAGCTACGTTCCAAAATTTCTGAATAACAACCAGCATCAAGGCTATCCATGTACAATACAATGGTATATTAGATCATTACCATATCAATCTAGCCTTAACCTGTCTGTCAAACATCTTGAGATTGATTACCTTGAGTGTGCACTCCATATCAAACTCACGTAACTTTGAGTATCCTGAAGAAATGCAGATCATTTTTTCAATTTACTAGCTTTGGGAATGAAGTTGCTCGCTCGTAAAGAGAGCGGGAGAAATGACCTGGAGACATTCTTTTTCTTGATAGTTACTGGCATTTTCCTATGGCCGGATTGGTGCTGATATCCTAAGGCTCAGTTGAGTTACTGGGATAACACAAGTGTATATTTTGAGGTATTGTGTAGAGAAATTCATTTTTGAAGAATTTATCCTTATAACCAGCCAAGGAAGCTCTAATTGTGGGATTAAAGCTTAGCACGAAGCTTCTTCAGAATACTAGTAGTCACTGAGATGGCTTCTGATATTATTCTTCCTGAGGGAAGCAGACTTGTGTAGGCTAGAAAATACCTCCTCACCGTGAAGGAAACCGAGTTGGTGATGAATAAATGAATTTATTAAACTATATGGAGGGAAAAGAAATTTCTAGCTACTACTATCAGGTTCTTGTAACGTGTGATCCGCTTCGTGAATCTGCTGACTGATAACTGTCCCCTAGGCCAAATGCTTGCTACCGAGCCAAGTATTATGAGGAGCCATTACGCTATGATGTTGCTTCGACCTACTGGCTAGTAGTGCCATTTCACCTATATTTGTACATCCTTCCTCTTTCAGTCTTATCGTAACTATTCCTAATTAAACGCTTAGGTTTCCTCCTAAGCTTAAACAACAGTCAAACCGTAGCAATTACCTTATTTACACACGGCCTCTCACTTGAGCTAGGCTGCAAGCCTAAAAAACATGTAAGTCAGAGAGGTTACACTCGAAAGATTTTGTCTGAGCCTAAGCTCTAAAAATGGGAAAAAAGCGGATCTTTTGAGTGTTGCAAGTGATTCCTGTGCAAGCCGGTGGAACATCTCTGGTTATCCCAACAATATATTGTCACATCAGTCCGTACCCATGGCTCACTTTGTTCTAAGTAACAAGATCTCAATTTTACTGGTTGTATTGATCTGATGCCAAGGTGTGACTAGGGTACACGTCGGAGAAATATGATTACTAAGAGATCCTAGGGGCCTAATCATGAAGAAAACGAAGTAATATTCGGGAAAAATGTAATTTTAAAATTTTTATAATAAATAAGATTTTTCCGTGGTGCACCTGTCTGTTTGATTCCTTATTTTTAATAGAGCATATTATGGTAACTCTAAAAGCGGTAGTAGTTGGATTCAAATTTCTTAGTTTCAGTGAGGCCCAGAAAATATGCACAATATTTATTCTTCATCCTTCACCAATATATCGAGCCGGAGCTTTGAGAATCTAGCGGGTTGATGGTTTGAATGACCTCTTAGCAAATTAATTAAGAGCTGATTTCTGGCTGAAGGTTAGAAGTCCAACAATAACTGCGGAGCTAAGCGCTCTAGATCCTCCACTTCTAGTACACCATTTCCTCCTCTTTCAATGCCTTCCCATGCCGCCCGCGCTACGGCTTCTCTCACGAAAATGTCCAGATACTTTGCCACAGCACCCACAGCTTGCTTAGTTAGCCGCGTGCGCCTCGTTTCCCGAGTGTTCTCCGCGCGATCAGCGCCTTCGCTAGTCGAGTCTTTGCCACAGCTACCTTTTTTGAACATTTCATTCAGCAGTACTGACGTGAGATCGCTTGGAATGACAACTTCTGTCCGATCCTTTTCCGCGGAAGTCGCGTCGTTGTAACTTGTCACACGTGTGCGTGTCGAGCGACTACTATCATGAATCCTAGATCGCGTTGACGTCTCGATAACTTCGTTAAAGATGTCGTCGCCTTCTTCCTCTCCGAGTTCCTCTTCCGGATTCAGGTCAGGGCCAGAATCTCCATCATCGCTCGTTCCCGGACTAAGACTAGGTAGCCGAGCAAGACTGGCTGCACTTATTCGAGGTTTCTTCTTAATGCCTTTACTGGAGCTTGCCTTCATCTTCTGGCTCCTCGAGCTGCCACTAGCAGGCGTCAGTTTATTGATTCTAGAAGCGCGTTCCTTCCCCGAATCGCCAACTCTGACTGGGGTAGATGCGACCGAGTTACTCGGACGCGGCGGGTTAAATGGTTTAGGAGGCATCGGAGCGTGTATGAGCTGGGTGGGTTCGTGTCAATAAATGGTGATGATGCTACACTGGGACACGACGTGGATCTCTTGATCACGTGACCACTCGAACTCTAAAAGTTAATATGGAATTAGTTTGCGGTCGGAATTATTTATACATTTATGTACAATTTGAGTTTCCAACTATATACGACAGACTATTTAAATACGTCATTTATTTTTCATTCTTATTGGGGGTTTCCTTGATTTTATGGTGGGATCCCCATTACCAGTTCACTAGGGGGGTGCGGTCAGTATACAGCAGGATAGCCACTAATTTTAACCTCCGAATCCCCATAGACCAAATAAAATATCTAGGGGGACTATTCTAGATACCTGTCATTGGTGTCCCCTACTAACCTCCAGCTCTCACTATAGAGTCTGCAGAGTCGTGAATGAGCAATACCTTTTCAACTTTGAGCTGAGTTACATGCCCCTCCGTCAAAGATACGCTTCCAATAGTACATAAGACGACAAAGACGACGATAATGATGCTAGTAATGGGGAAAGATAATGCGGCAACAATATCGACTCTTCTAGCCAGGAGAGCATATGAAATATATCAGTTACCCGACGAACCCACGCTCGTAACGACTTTTGGATATTAGGCCAGGCTCCTTCACGGCAGTCATTCTCGACCAAGACTTTTCTGACATCCTTTCACGACCCTCCGTTTGTCCTGCGGAATGAATCAATGGAGGAGTAAGGAGGAGGCTATAAAGGTTGAGAGATGCTCTTAGGTATACATAGGTCTGTTGCGACCCGCTGGCCGGCCTCTTCGTCATAGGAGAGCCCCGCACCCAGTGGTTTTTGAGATTTTTCACTGCAGCTACACGCCCGCAAATGGCCATTGCTTCGTTGGCTGGAGAGGGGAGATAATGACGGAATAACGGCTCCTCTTAGTGTGTAATCGAATGAAGACCTGTGGGGGTATTACTGCTGGAAGAAGTCGTGAGGGAGGCAAAGGAAGGAGAACACTACCAGAGGCATAGATACTCACAGCCTGTAGGCAGAAAGGACCTACATGCCCTTTCATAGTTATAGACTCATTTAAACAAAAAACACAGACAAACAATAACTAGCTAGCAGATTGCTTATGATTCGAGTCTCATCTTTTTTTGTAATCACTTAACGTGTATTCAGCTATCTAACTATGACACATGACCGGTGCTACGTATACATGTGGGATGACTCTTTTGACGTTAGAGACACTCATACTCTGGATTTCATTTGCAAATACCACTATGAGGTATGTTCGCTTACACAAACAGTCGACCCTCCTCCGTAAATACCCACCGAAGGGAATTTCGTAACCTTTGGTTATCCAAGCATGCCTTCGTCATCCATCCAAACCAGCGCCGCGAGAAAAGTGGTGGTGTTTTGCTGGATTTGAACCAGCGATCTACTGTCTCGAGTGGGATATGTGTCCAAGCTATCCAGACTCTACTTGGCAGATGGGGCCATGACGATGTACCACTGCACCACCCAGCCATGGCAGTGTTTATATTGTCAACCGCACTCTCGCAAGCGAAGTCTTGGCACGCAAAAAGCCCAATTTGTAAAGACTCCTTGCCAGAATTCAAAATATTAAGTTCCACACACGTCGAAACTATATTCATCCTCTGCATCATCTTGTAAACTTGTCCTTAATTCTCTCACGCCAATCCCAAAGAACTGTCTCCTAGATTTGTGCGCAACGCTTTGCTTCCTCCTTCGGGTGTAAATATCAGCGAGGGTATGTATTTGGTGTTCAACTGAGGCCAGAGAAAGTCGACGAGAGGTGCGATCATTGGAATAAGGATGTGCTAGGTCATACTTGTAGACTCAATGGGGCTTGGGTAGGAATTGGACTCTTTGGGAGTGAATATTTGAAATGGTGGAGTATTTTGAATAATTGCCTCGTGGGCCAACTTGGTCGATATTGCGAAATTTGACTGAACTTGGCTCTGGGAGAATATTTCACCCCCAGGTTCGTAGAGGACACCGCGTACAGGTATTCAGTCTTGCCCTCCACTCTGTGGGCCCATGCAGGTGGCTATATACTTTCTAATTTACAAGGGAGGAAACCTTTTGGTGAAAACCCCCCAAACCTTCCACTTAACCCAATCATATCAGCTTTATCGACCTCAACAAAGGCATGACCTGTTCCTTTCCCTCAGCAGCATTTTGACCGCCTTTGTCATCTGGAATTGCTCTATCCAACCATGATTTAGGATCCACTGTGTTATCCTTTTGATATCTCTAGGATTGCTTAGCATAGCTTCGTAGGACCGATCTTTCGCTTGTCTCCAGATCTCTCCTCTTCCGTTTGACCATCGAGGGCAGGACATAATCATGTGCTTGGGGTTCTGCGATTGGTAGCTATATGGACAGCTTGGACTGTAGACTCCGGGTACTTTTCTTCTGTATAAATACGTGTTGAGCCCCATGTGCTCACTTCGTATTTGCATCGCCAAACTGCTTTGGGCCCTTGTCAGGTTTCGGTGGAGTAGGAATGGCGATTCCTGGAGACTTATTTTCCATCGATCCGACTTTTGGTTCTGATAGAACTTCACTGCTCTCCAGGTTTTGGGGTCAGCGATTGCTTTATGTCGAGGTAATTGGAGCAGCCTTTGATTCTTCCAGGATTTAGCCCATTCTTGGTATGCTGCGACTTCTCCTATCTCTTTCTGCCATTTTTTAGACTGGTCTCCCTCTTAATTTGTATTTATATCGAGGAAAAATACCAGGACTCTACCATCCACGCCGTCTGTGTGGATACCATTGAGAAATCCCGAAGCACATGATCATGTTCTGCCACAGGTAGTGATGTGGTAGAGAGATGTGGAGGAAAGCTAGTAAACGCCCTTCAAAACCATGTTAAACAATCCCGGTATCATTAAAATGGCTACGCATTGAATTATCAGTCTTTGCTGGATAGAACAATTCCTTATGACAAATGGAGTCTGAATGCTGCTCAGGGAATGAGAAAGTACCGGGACAAGATTTGGGTTGATACGAGGGGCGTGATTGGCACACATGCTCGAAATTACAGTGTAACTGTTGGGGACTATTATCATCACCTGTCAGTGGTGTCTCCTACGAACCTCCAGCCCTCACTGTAAAGTCTATAGAGCCGAGATTGAGAACGAAAGTCCTCACTTCGATGTGGATTGGATCAAGTTGGTCTCGACTGTTACAAAGAAGGGAGATATAGATGAATATGCGCACCCCATGTAGTCCCGGTGAATGGGCTTCATCTGGCTGGGGCTGCAGGCTTTTTGAGACTCTTTCCTGCGCACATAGTTTCAATTGCTACCATTCAGGCGGTAAAGTACCTGAAAGGATAGTGAAACCCCTTTGGAGCATCCAAAGAAACTGCTTAAAAATTGTCACAGGAGCGTATAAGTCGACTAGCACGTGAGTGCTCGAACACGAAACTGGCACCCTAACGATAGAAATCTACCTGAAGCAGCAAAGGCTTCAATACTTTGGCCGCTTGAAAAACCTACTAGTTCAGAAGGTTATACAATCTGCCTGTAGTAACATCAAGCTGCCTAAACGAGGGAGAAGACATTCGCGTCAATAATAGGAGATTAGATCTGGCAAACTGGGTGGAAATTTGTGGGGAGGACCAGTCTAAAAAATGGCAGAAAGAGATAGGAGAAGTCGCAGCATACCAAGAATGGGCTAAATCCTGGAAAAATCAAAGGCTGCTCCAATTACCTCGACATAAAGCAATCGCTGACCCCAAAACCTGGAGAGCAGTGAAGTTCTATCAGAACCAAAAGTCGGATCGATGGAAAATAAGTCTCCAGGAATCGCCATTCCTACTCCACCGAAACCTGACAAGGGCCCGTAGGGTGCCAACGTGGGACAGTGAAATAAAATTCAAAATTGTTACTTTTTTTTGTGTAGAAGGTTCCGCGGAAAAGGTGGCTGAACTCCACGGGTAAATACTGAGCTGAATGGCTATTCATCATGGGCAATATATCAATGATCTTACACGTAATAAAAGAGGATAGAAGCGCTGTACAAGGTGTGGTCCGGGCCACGGAGGAGCCCAAAGTGCTAGATAGTCTATGACTCAAATAGTACAATAAACATAAACCTTTCTCCCCCTCTACAGTGTTATCGTGCTTTCTGAGGCGTAAATCACAAATTTCAAAGAAATAAATTAGAAGGCTAGGAAAGTTTCACCTGGAGGTTTTCTCCAATGTCAATACATAGACAGGTTTATAACCACCTACTTGGGCCTGTAAGCCGCCAATTCAAGATAATGAAATTAATTCAAAAATGACACATGTGAGCACTATGAAGGGCTTAAATTACACGCAGTACAAACCCATACCGAGGAATTGTGCTTGGACAACTTAGGTTATATTTAGCAACAAGTTGGAGTTCGTATATTGCGCTCATTCACCTAACTGCATTAATCAATAATTGAGGCAGCTTGTGTCATACTAGAGGTGTGTCTCCGCAGATTGTGTTGACCTGATCTCAATAGTAAGTATTATTGCTGCCATACCATCTCCGGCATAGATCACAAAGTTAATATAAAAACGCCTATCGGATTTGATTACATGATGTTTTTGATATTGCGCTGGCTCAAGCGTTGCGTGCATAGCCTTGTTAAGTGGTAGATCCTACTCCTGAAAACTAAGTAAATCACTGATGCACCTTTTATCCTCAGTTTCCATTTGAGCAAGAAATATGATACAGAAAACAAAATAAAATTTATTCGTAATACATTATGACGGTAACGCCCGGCTCGAATTATTGTTCGCATTTGGTTGCGCTGATGAAGGCTGGCCAAATGATGTGGCGAGTCGCAGTATGAGCCAAGTTGACCCACGGTATTCATCGATATCTTAGCCTCTTAATATTCGGTGGTTTTTAGTTATTGTACGGCCCACCTGAATCTTTGGGTGTTGCATACCGCTTACTCTTATTGCTCAAATTTTAGAGTGAGTGTTGTTTCAACTAATTGTCTGGTAATGTAACACGAATTCATGTGAAGGATCACCACGTTGATTTTCGACCCGGGAATTTTAGCCAAATTTTCATTCAAAGCGTTACATGATGTGGGACGATGGACTGGGTTCCAAAACTTGGGGCCGTTAGGCTGATATAAAACGGCCTGAAAGCCTTGGCATTGATTAAAGACAATAAAACCTGATAAGGTAGTGATTTCGGGTAAGATATGTGTGCAATTTTGCGTGCGGTGATCTTTTGATTCGAGTTCTGACAAAAGCTTCTCAGAGTGATGAGAATAATCCTTTAGGCCCGGAGAGACTTTTTTTTTTTTTCCTTAAGAGCGAGCTTTTCATCTTTCCCCAGAAACTAGGCCGCCTTCTTCGTTCCGTTTTCCTTGTAAAAGGTTCATCTAAATCATAGTCAATATCAGGTTGTGCCTCTACCGGTTCTAGGAAGCTCCAATTTGACATTTTCTCGTCATGACTTGGGCAATAATTTTGTAAGAATTGAGACATGGAATTGGAGATTTGATTAGCACGTAGCGCGTCAGGCGCATCAGCAAAGCATAGTGTTCGTGGTGGCGCACTTTTGGGTGGAGATAATTCTAGAGCTGTACCAGAATCACAGAGAGTAGGAGAAAATGGCTGAAGAGACTGTGGACTACAGGGTTGATCAAAGCGAATGGAATCATTTGTGTAGGGTTGTATATTAAGCAGACGTGATAGTCTCGATGGTATTGTTAATATCGTGGTTTTAGTAGCCGGTTCGATCTCGACATCAGGGACGAGTGTTGGTGCAAAATTTGCTTCCGAATTCATGCTTGGTGATAACAAAGCATCTGCTGTAGCCGGTTCTATCCTAGATTTATTGGTAAGGACCTCATCAATGTTTGATGGTGCTTGGTTTAGTAGAGGTACAGTATTGACCGATCTATTTCCGCCAAACCCAAAGTCAAAACCAGCATTTGATATTGCTCTGGAGGCCTCACGCGTCTCACGTAGAATACGATCTCTTTCATTCTGTACAGTAAAATCTTTCGAAGTCGGGCTGCAGATTGGAGGAGCTATGCCACAAGGAAAGTGAGGTGGGATCGAAACAGTGAGCGAAGATTTCCGAATGGGCCTTGGTGATATATCTGCATATGAAATTCCAGCATACTCGGGTAATAGGGGCTCATGCGGTAGAATCAAGTTTTCCCCATCACTTTCGGTATCGTCTGCTTCTCGATTTATATCCCATTCGCCAAATTCACCAAATGGAAATCGGGGCAGCAACACTGCGCCATTACTTGTCTGAGGGCGGACTTGGTTCATACAGAGTGCTTCTGAGTCACTCTTCTTTTCCTGCTCAGAGCTGTGAGCGTAGTGGCTATCGCAACCTGCTGGATCAAGTTCGGTAAATTTTTGAGCAAGACGCGCAGCAAGGACGTTAGATTCATGGCGCAATCGTTTAAGCACGCTCTCAGGGTCATCGAGTTTGCTGGAATTGGCAATACTTGAGATTGTGCTGCTGCTGGGGAAGCGGAAGGATCTGTTGAACTCTGGTACCGAAACTTTGGCATGTACGTCGTCGAATGAAGCATGGAGGGGGGTGCCTGGAGGTAGCGGAAAATCGTCTATCGACTGATTACTCTCGGTGGCAGAGAGTGAATAAGTATTCTCCCTCATCTTGCCAATTCAAATTTTGCACCAAGTCGCGGCTCAGAGAAGGGAGTTGTTCGTTCATAATGACGAGATATTGATCATTAACGCCATGTTTACTGTGCTCTTGAAGTTCTAAGCGTGATTAGCTTGCCCCTGACACTAGATTATGCTCCATGCTCTAGTGTTGATGCATACGCGCATACTCCTGAGCCGTTTTTGCTTTTGTTTACCACTGGACCTTAATCCCAGAACCCAACCTATCTCGGTCCTCCCCAGTAACTAATGGGCTGAAAGGCTAGAAAATTATTTTCAAAAGGGGAAAGTGTAGGGGAAAATCCTGCCTGCTGCTCAGTCGAGGCCACACCGGGGGAAACCGCATGCCAGTGAGGATATCTATCGGCTTGTGTCGGCTTTTTCCGAATATGCTACGCGATAATGCAACTGGGCCCATGCGGTCAACCATTTAATTGTCCAGGGGGGATTTTAACGGCGTTTGTTACTCACTGCCTGTAGCAGCCAGCACGCTTTATCACTCTGAGAATCATATCGCCGCGGACAAGACAGGAAACTCCAATCTTAAGCCGTGAGACCTGCATGGGTTCCTAGCTCCATCGCACAAATCATTGTTATCATTTGCCTTTGACGTGGAAGTTGACATAAGTTGCCTTCCGAACTTATCATCGGCTAGCATGGTTGTCATTGGTAACTGGACATCAATGACAATGATCTCATTGGATAAGGGCGTACTCGAATGGAGTAACGGGGTAGAAACTAAGGGACAATGGTACGCCAGTGGACTGTGACAACCTTGCTCCCGAACCGGCCAGCGCGATTGGGAGCGTTGAGGGAAAGATGTTTTATCGACGTCAGGGAATGGTGGCGGCCTGTTCCCTCGGGGAGATTCGGCGCGGAAAGAAAGAATTAAAGTATAACTCGACACCTTACAGCCAGCCCGTCACCACCTTGTTGCCGAGTAGTTCAATGGACCTAGCCCGAATTAGTAGGGTTTTGGCAGAACTGAGTAAGGCTGTTTTCCACTCCCAAGGCTACCCATTGATTGGTCGATGTTTTCGATAGAATGACGCTTAGATGGAGTAATGGTAGATTATGATTTGCTACAAACTGTCAAGGGGGACTATTTCACCTACTCAAGTAAACTAAGCTAGTCAGGTCATGTGACTCGACTATTAATACATAGGCTTCATCTGTAGCATTAGGCCACTAGTCAACATTTATAACGTAATACCGTGTCCCACGTATCTTTCTTAAGACAAACTGAGCCCACTGAAACATAGCGCTTCAGGTTAATCAAAACCTTTCGAACGGGATCATGTGCCTGACAGTGTGAGCTCCCATGTGGGGCAACAGTGTCGGGAAGAAGTTGCGTCAGACAGGGGATTGTGTGATCTCAATTCTGTGCTCCAATCTGCACATAAGATTTTCTTATTAATGAGAAATGTACGAAAACTGGCTTACTTACCATGAGAATGCAGGTGTATCTCACCACAAAATGGGAAGTAAGTCAGCTCAGGCTCAGAAAGGTCGGCCTCAAACTGGGGGGCCTAGGTACTCAATAGTTAGTGTCACATCGCTTCTATACCAATTAGCAACTTAACGTGTAAATTACATACCATGGGGACTTTGAACGGGCTGATGACAGATTCTTTGATGTTCTAGGTTGACAGGTGCACTATAAACGTCTTGACCCGAACGTGTCGCCACTAATCTTTCACATGAAAACTGCATTGCAGCTGAAAGAGAGTAAAAATTTGACTGATAGCTTTCTCGACTGACTTCCTAAAACGGTTAATATGAGGTGTAAGTGGAAGCTACATCAGAATCTATAGCTTTAAAGATTGACATAAGAAAATTGATCCTATGCCTTGAAAATAAACTTCTCAGTCCTACATTATTTTTGGGCTAGAAGAATTTTTGTAAAGGAGACGGAGATAAATCGGGTTATTTTAACTGAACTACCTGAGCCTGAGATAATCTAGAGCATTGGGCACCTCTCTGGCCCAGGCCACACCTTGTACATTTCTCCTTGCTTCTAATGTCTCTTGAAAGATCATTGATATATTGCCCGTGATGAATAGCCATTCAGCTCGGTGTTTACCCGTGGAGTTCAGCAACCTTTTGCGGGGAACCTTCTACCCAAAAAAACCAAAAATAGTAGCAATTAAAACTGCGTGCACGGCAAAAAGTCTCAAATAACCTGCAGCCCCAGCCAGGTAAGGCCTAGACACCGGGACCGCATGAGATGCGCATATCCATCTGTATCCCCCTTGTAACATTCGAGGCCGACTTGATCCAAACCACCGGTCTTTGTATCGGGTGCTGGATACGCTTCGGAAATTCATCGGATGGCTTTTCCTCCATGATCAAGGGCTGGTGATAAGTAGGGCTCGGACTCTACCATCTGATCTGATCGTGGTTAGCTTCATGATAGTAATGATAGGGGAATGTGCTTAGAGATGAAGACGATACAGACCGCGAAAGCGATTGGGGATCCTCATCGAAGTGAGGACTTTAATACTCAATCTCGACTCTGCAGACTTTACAGTGAGAGCTGGAGGTTTGTACGGGATACCACTGACTGATGATAAGTTTTGCCCAACGAATGCTACGGGTAATAGTTGAACTGAATGGCTATCAGTCATGGGCATTACGTCATCTTTCTTCCTTTTAGCAAGCAAAAAGGATGAGAGCACTGAACAAGGTGTGGTCTGGGCTTGAGAGAAGCCCATTGTGCTAGACGGTCGTAGACTCAAGAAGCACATAATTATCAGAGAGGACTTGCCAGGGGTTGTCCTATTGTAGGGGAGTTGTATAGAAGGCATAGGAAGTGATATGCTACTAGCATATCAATCCTTGGCCTATAGGCAGAGATGACATACATGTCATATGTCGTATTGGTTTGATAAAGGTCAAATATATACTGTAAGTAGCACATGAAACTCCAATTCAATATAGTAACATTTACTCTCTTGGCACCCAAGTTGCAGTGATTGCAATGCTCGCCGATTTAATAAGTTTCTCCCCTGAAGCCTGCATGTTACCCGTTTCTAGGTTGTATATATCCTCAGCATCATCTTGAAAATCTATTCTAATCTCTCTTATGTCCATCCCACAGATATGTCGCGCCTCATTTTGGAACAACGATCTGTTTCCTCCTGCGATTATTCATATCGTGTATGTAGAAGCCATGCATTGGTGCACACTGATTAGACGACAGGTTTGGTACGGAGATCAAGATGTACTAGGATCGGGTATGGTAAGGGAAAAGGCTATATACACCAGGATCTATTTGGTGCAAGTGATGATCAGCCTGTAAACGGGGTTCATTTCCTGAGAATACTACCTAGGCTTTTTTCAGAACCATGCACTCTTCTGGATCTGATACTATCATCGAAGGAAAACTTGTAGATTTGTATCTTCTCTTTTCACCAAACAGTCGCGCAAAGTGTGACTTAATTTCGCAAAATTCAAGACAATGATCTCGAGCTTCATGTGGGTCATTAACCAAGCCCTCCACACCTTACCTGAGGAGCTAGCCCAAACTGTGTACCACAGTACCATCCAGCCCAAAGAGAGGTTTAGCGACGTGCGCAGATATCACATATTCGTTCCGCATTATGCTTGCACATCAACAGACCGATTATTTTTTCAATGCACTCAACACAAGATACGTATTTCCACATAACACGAAGCGCTATCAGAGCAACAGTGGCCATTATTCAAAACCACCCACATGTCATCCACAAGCACTACGCCATTATCTTCCTTAGTGTCTCTAGATACACTATTTACAAATCCCGTCTTTGCCGGTGGTATAGGACTTGGTGGGTTAGCAGCAGCAACTGCAGTCCTTCGCCGCTGGACAATTAAGAGTGTATCTCTTTTAAAGCGCCGCCTACTAGTTAATTTAGAAATCAGCAAACAGGATCAATCTTACCAGTGGATCCTTGCATGGCTGACGTTGAATCGATCGACAGGTGGCCGATTTACAAAACAGCTCACGCGCATTAACCAACTATCAATGCGAACTGTCGCAGCCTCAGCGGAAAAACCGGCGCGATTTTTAGCCCAGCCTGGTTATGGAAGACATATCCTGAAATATCAAAATGCTTTTGTATCGGTTAATCGCATGAAAGATGGAAAAAGCTTCAATCATTCGACAGGGGAACCTCACGAAACAATTACTCTTACGACTCTATACGCTCATCGCCACATATTTGAAGATATATTTTCCGAGGCTCACAAGCTGCAACAATTAGAACAGCAGGGAAAGACCATGATGCTAGTACCGCGGGGTATGGACTGGGTCCCATTCGGTGCACCCCGGCGGAAGCGACCGCTAGATTCAGTGATTCTTGACCAAGGTCTTAAAATGAAGATTCTATCAGACGTCAGAGAATTTTTAGACCGCCAGCAGTGGTACGTGAACCGTGGTATACCATACCGAAGAGGTTATTTACTATATGGGCTGCCTGGAAGTGGAAAAAGCTCATTTATCCAAGCCTTAGCAGGAGAGATCGACTTCAACATTGCTATGATCAACTTAAGCACCAAAGGTATTACGGATGATAAATTAGCAGACCTTCTCTCTAGAATCCCGCCCAAAACAATTTTGTTACTCGAAGATTCAGATGCTGCATTTATAAACAGAAGACAAGTTGAATCAGACGGTTACAACGGCCAAACTGTCACATTTTCTGGCTTGTTGAATGCTCTTGATGGTATTACAGCTGGCGAGGAACGGATAACTTTTCTAACGACAAATCATATCGATCGTTTAGACCAAGCCTTGATCAGACCAGGAAGAGTAGATATGACAGTGAGAATTGGGGAGGCATCAAGATATCAAGCTTCGGAAATGTGGACTCGATTTTATGGAGATGTCGACCGTGATTCTACAGAACGTGAAAGGTTCCTTCAAAAGCTTGAGGATCTCAAACTCATATCAGACGCAAAGAACGAAATAAAGCCTGAATTTCAGACAAGCACTGCAGCTATACAAGGCTTATTCCTATTTAATAAAGACAATATGTATGGGGCAATCGAGCAAGCTGAAGGGCTTATTCCAAGGATATACCAACCAGAAGTACCGGCGGGTATAAAAATAGCCGCATAGTAATAGTAGCTCGATCATCTCAAACTGGGAGGCTTATTATTATGTATCAGTTCCAGATGCTCTCGGTGAGTTTAATCTTCATTGTAGATATAGATTAGGGTTGTCGAAAAAATAATCTTAAATGGCTATGAATAAGATCATCATCACTGTTCAAAGCAAACGACGCCTAAATTGCTCAAGTTACAAAATATGTATCGCGGTCTTAACCTCGACGAAAATCCAGCGCTAATCTACTACTTCTTTGGTTGTAAAGCTTATATCAAGGACGCCTTTGACCAAAAAGGAAATAAATACTATACGCTGTGGACTCGGAGATGAAAACGAGACAACTTTTTTGTCTCGTCAACATCCTCAATGTAAGACCTTATACTTATTACCCTGGGTACAACATTTTGTCCACTAAATGGAGTAAAAATTTCCGATCAACACTTTATCATTCTCATCCCACGATTGATATGTCTTAGAGTAATTTAGATGAAAACTTAGCTTTAAGTCATACCAAGTACCTCTAGGCCTACAAATTATGAGCCCAGAAAAGGAATTACAAATTCCTACAATCAAACCTCTTCATCATGCAACGTATTGGTAGCAATGGAACAGGCTGGCCTGAGATATAAGATCAATTTATTTTATTAAGATCTATAAGTTGAGCCAGGAGACGTCACAATTTGTATTGGAGCATTCAGTTAATCATATTAATGCGAATGAGCTAGACTCTCACTACATTGTCATTGCTTGAGCCTTAGAAACCCAAGGTGCGAAAATTTATCAAAAGCTCGGTTTTTTGGCGGCCAGCATATAAAATAATAATATTAATGTTGGATGGGAATTTCATTACGTACATGAAAAATGAGTGCAAAGCCACATACTTCAGGATATTAAGTATAACAACAACTTAACTCGAGTACATAAAAACTGAATTATAATAAAAATGAAGGATGAAATTCCTGCCCGAAACCCCATAATTGGTTCAGAAATTAATCTTTCAAGTTGAAGTACAAAAGTAATCAATTCTGTGGGGAGATTTTTATCAGTAAGTGATACTTCCCGGGATGTAACCAAATAACAGAATCTAGGTATTGTGGAGTTTTCTCCATCTTCTGTATTATTGAAAACATTTTTAATTGTAAACCTATAATCCGTACGAATGACATGGAAAAAGACCTGCGTAAATGGAAATTTTAATACCAATTTTTATGTAAACAAAGCTTCTATGTTTTCAATCTAGCTGGATGATCAAAATGTGGGAGTAGTACTGACGGCAAAACAAAACCAGAAAATAGTACCGTTCTTTAGGAGACAGGCTATTCCAAGTTATCGCACTTCATACCATGTCCTGCTTCACGACTCAGAAGAACTCTCAATTTGGCACTCAAATTCTCTGATCGCTAAGCTGTACCAAATCTTTTTCATTACCAGTGATATGCCTATGCTAACTCCATAGGGTAATCGTAGTTCTAGGATAAGATACATTTCTCAAGTACAGTGCCTCTGGGCTGGAAAAGGCAAAACTTCAAACTGGGTTGTTTAAGGGATTAGCCCTGTAGGTGCAGCCGGGCTAGCTCGTAACAGGTTAGTATGTCTCTCCTCCTTACCCCGCTGGCCATCAAGTATGGTCCAATCGTCTTATTATGACAATCGCTTAGAGAAGCACATTTTCAACAACACTTTCGACTGCCTATCCAACAGAGCCCCTGATTCATAACTACACTATCAATTCACCCTCTATTCTAGCAAATAATGTCTCTTGATACTTTGAATCATCTATTCTGTACTTTTCTTTGATACTGTGTCATAGCTAGATAGCTGCATACGCAATTAAAATCTGATGCAAAAAAAAAATAAGCATTTCTCGGGGGTAAGTTAGTTATTCACTGCGCCACGGCACTGTCTCCCCCAAAGAGAGAAAAAGAACATCCCAAACCCTGGAAGCAGATGATTTTTATTAGATTATATCTTACGTTAAGTCTTCACCTGAAAACCACCGCAAAGCATTTCTAGAACTCGACTCTGGCCCCTTTAGATATCTTGGTGTTAGCTAACGGGTAATACAAAGAGAATTTTAGAAAAGAAGATATTAACCACATGTAGCTCATACAGAGCCTCCAGCATCTCAAAGAACCATGAAGATACGAAGAAAATGGGCCGAGGCTAATATCAATTGGGCATTTGAAGACTGAACGTCAATTTTACGGACAGACAAAATCTGAGTAAAGGATAGAGGAAACTCCAGAGAATGGGTAACAAGAAAATTTTGTACACTCCTCTGCAAAAAGAAAGTAATTAGATGTGCTGAAATTTTGAGCTAGACTTCCCGAGAGTACAATGGAGATTGTATTGGAGAAAAAATGAAGATAATGGTTGGCTGGGTGTTCTGGGGTTGATTTACAGGGCCAGAAAAAGACACCTGTTTATTTTTGGAGAAGGAGTGAAGATCCATTAACTCCCAAAAATATTGTGAGAAAATAGTTCTTCGCATTCATGGTATGTTCTCGATGAAACCGTAGCTCTCCGTAATGTAGGGTAATGCTCCTACTCACGCAGCAGCAAGTAACCTGGAAGAATTTAGGGAGATGCTCATGCAACTGATTTTCTGGCCGGCCAACTCGTCTGATCTTAACCCGATTGAGACTGTTTGGGATATGATGAAGGATTAGATCCAGCGTCATCATTCGAATCTGGGTAGTATAAAGGAGCGTACTCCAGATGGTCTTCGCAACATTGTAAAGGAGGCATGGGATTTCTTTTCTCCCCAAGATCTTGTGAGACTCATTGAGAGTATGCCAGCAAGAAGTCAGGCTGTGATAGATGCGAATGGGGGACCAACCAGATATTAGGGCCAGAAAATATTCCAGCCATATGTTCAGATCTAAGGTTTGGATAAGACTGGCTCTATTTTGTAATTTGAAAACATTTGAACTCTTGTAAATAAATTATAGAGGTAAGTAGCAAAAATGAACAAATGTTATGCAGCGGATCATTATACCGATTAGGCTTAGAACGAAGGAAAGGCCCACCACTAACTGTGGCGTCCAGAAAATAATTTGCCATACAGTGCAGATTCGTTATTACGATACTTTCTTCGCGTACGCATTAAGTTCTCACAGTATATATAACAAATCAACGATATGCAATTTACCGATGTAGCCGTCCCCATTTTATCGTTATATTGAATAACTGTCACATGATATAACCACTGTCGTTGGCTGATGTCTGATTATTTGGCTTTGTGCCTGATAATTAAGGCATAATTTACTGTATCCTAGTTTAATACCAAGTATGTCATGCACTTCCCCACACGATTTATTAGGCCTGGTAGAAATATGGGTCAACCTCATGCAAAAATATTCTGATATGGCAACTGAGATTACAGACACGACGACAAGAGTATCGAGGTGGAGCAGGAGGAGGTCATGTTCATGGACATCAATGCTGCACATGCTTTGCCATAGCAGGGGGGGCACGAGCATGAGGAGGCAGCTGAGCCGCCTGCCACGATTAACTAAGCACGAAATGGCTTCAAGCGCCTTTTCAGTTTCTAGGAGCATGAGCTAGATGCCAACTCCATGGAGCTCGCTATACTCATGCGCATGGAAAGAGGCCTCCAGCAGCAGGCAGAGCAATAAAGAGGACAAGGGACATTAATAGGTGGTTTAAATAATGTATGAGGTAGAACCATATCAGTCTGATGTGGGAAGACGTGATGGTTTCATTGAGTGGATCAAGTAAGTAAAAATGATTATACGTAACATCACGTGGCTTAATTCTCCACTTAAACGTCTTACCGATACAAAATAGCGGTACGGAATCATATCATTATAATGAGTCCGCACTGTACAAATATTATCAACGGAGGGCAAGACTGAACACCTGTACGCGGTGTCCTCTACGAACCTCGGAGTGAAATATTCTCCCAGAGCCAAGTTCAGTCGAATTTCGCAATATCAAAGAAGTTGGCCCACGAGGCAATGATTCAATTTACTCCTCCACGTCGTTTTTTCGCTCTCGATGAGTTTGTCGCCTACCTAAGTCCCACCAAGTCTACAAGTACATCCTAGTACATCCTCATCCCAATGACCATACCTCTCGTCGACTTTCTCTGGCCTCAGTTGAACACCAAATACATACCCTCGCTGATATTTACACCCGATGGAGGAAGCAAAGCGTGGGGCACAAATCTGGGAGACAGTTCTCTGGGACTGGCGTGAGAGGATTCAGGACAAGTTTACAAGATGATGCAGAGGATGGATACAGTCTCGACGGCCATGAAATTTCGAATTTTGGCAAGGAGTTTTACATGTTGATCTTTGTGCGTGCCAAGACTACGGTTACAAGAGTGCAGGCGACACTATAAACACTGCCATGGTTAGATGGTGCAGTTGTACATCGTCTTGGCCGGTCTGCCAGGTATAGTCTGGATAGCTTGCACATATATCCCACGTAACATAGGAGATCGCTAGTTCTAACTCAGCAAAACAATACCGTATTTATCGCGGTGCTGGTGTTCATGGACAGCGAAGGGATGCTTGGATAGCCAAAAATTATAAAACTTCCTTGTCGGGCACTCATTGAGGGAGTTCGAGTGATTTTTGTAAGCAACAATACCTCATTGATAATTGCGATTGAAACCTAGAGTATACGCGTCTCTTAAGTCAAAAGGGTCATCCAATATGTATACATAGCACCGGTCATGTGTCATAGCAAGATAGCTGAATACACATTACTTGATTTAAAAATGGTGAAAAAGAGTGAGAATTATTTCGCAATTGGTATGACCGCTAGCTGGAGCTAACAAATGGTCTTCTGAGAGCATAATTTAATTGGCCCGCTTTGTATTCAAAAATATCGAGCCGGGAATGGTACACTCTATAGCAGATTTTGTTGCTTGCGACAACCGCCATCTTCGGGGATAAAGACTAAATACCTTTAAGTGGTGTCTGGCACAGACCTGGGGATAAAAGACTCTATCAGAGCTGAAGCTTAATATTGAAAAAGTTCAGATCGTAGCGTCTTGCCAATGTGGCGCTAGTGAGAAGTGTCATTGGCAAGTATTCTATCCCTATTTGACGACGGGACAAAACTACGACTTCTATCAACTTCAACTATCCAAAATCGGCGGATAGGCTCGATCAAGTCTGATAATTGTATTTCGACAATATCAGTATCATTAATTTCATTTACTAGAAGGATTTTCCAACTAAACTTATTTGGGGATACTCTACAATCATTTCACCACCTATGGAGGCGCTACAACACTAAAACTGGCCAAATCACTCAAAAAATGCAAGAGATCATCCGAATCCCCGCAGACAGTATATATTGAGAAGGATTAGTCGATGCAGCGGCGTAGGATACGACTATACGTTCCCCAAGGGCATCAGTAACCGGACCCGCAATGAACGGCATTTGATAACACACGTATCGTGTTTCATTGGCTCACTAAATAAAGTGTCCGACGTAGACTGAGTTGTCAGAACTTTGGTTATTAGCTCTGGTTCGGATGTACGGTCATGATGATTCGGCCGGTGGCTGAATGGATTTCCCATTTTTGAAGATGTAATTGGGCGAAAGAGTAATGAAATGCTTTAATAGAGTAAGCTATAGGCGAATAAATTACCTCTTGATGATATAGGTAATGCTGAGATAAGGAAAAGATCCGACCGAAGAAAATCAGAAAACCAACGTCCTGGAAGTCGTTAGAGATTAGCGCGTATGGTAGCTATAGCTGAGATAGAGAAATCTTAGCTTTGGGGCGCCAATGTCGGGTTGCTTGGACGGTCGCACTTGTCATGATTCAACGCACGTACGAGATCTGAGGTGTGACTAACAGTAAGGCGGACCGTGGCTCTTTAAACTGATTGTATTTGACATGATATATTCGGGCACTGTCGGTTCATAGGTGAATGGCGTAGGGATTAAAGGCTTGCTTTGGATATGTACTCCAAAAAGGATTAATCAATGTATCACGTGATTTGGCTCGGGCGCCAAGCTTCGATTTGTGATTTAAATATTGGTGCTCTAGGAGAGAAAACAGGGAAGAATAGATAGAAAGATACCACTTTTTTACAGCACTTTTGAAGCATTGAACCAAGTGAAACCAGATGTACCAACAGGCACCAAATGTGCTGAAGCTCCCAAACGAATACGGAAGCCATTTATTGCCCAGTGTATTAATGTTCGATGAAATGATTTGAGCCACACCATCTGATCAATTGATTTATTCGAAAAAAGTGTTTGAGAAGTCAAGATCTTCTAGGTAGGTAAATGGGCTCCTTTATAGATCAAGTAGCCAAATTAGTGTCATCATAGGAACGAAAAAATGAACTGAGGGAACGAAAACTCAACACCTGAGAATGTCCCCTACGAGCCTCCATCTCTGATCGTTTTATATACAGAGCCAGAGATTAAGTCCCATATTTCTGACTCTGAGCTGAGATATCTCTTACCTCAATTGTTTGCCTTCGATAACTCCAGCGACGATGAAGACGATCTTAATGACGCAGAGGAATAAGAGATACTGCGGTACCAAACGCCACAAATAAAGTCAGGATAGCATTCGTCGTGTGATAACATGAGCTTCCCATTAGCTGGCAAGAGAGATCGCACAAAACAAAAGCAAAAGATCTCTTCGGCCTGGAAAAATTAGATTCAGTCTCAACTGGCCTGTATGGCATCCAAATTATACGAGTTATTCGGCACCCCTATTTCCGTAACAACTTTTAGATAGTAGTTCAGGCTACATTTCGGCGATTTCTCTCCACCAAGGCTTTTTTGAAGCCTTTACGCAACCTTCACTTTGTCCTGTAGCTCGAATCAGGTGCGACGGAAGGGCTAGAAAGGTTGGGGGGAGCTCCTAGGTATACATAGGTCTGCAGTTCTCGCCTGACCAGACTCTTCGAACGCTTCAGAAGAGCAGCTATAGCTTCATTAATAGTCCTCATATCAGTGTTAGAGCCAGCAAAGATTGAGTTTTTGTCCGTTTTCTTTTAGCAGCAAACCCGCGAATAGTCTTCGTTTTGTTGGATATGTAAGGTAGATTAGGACTGTATAATGGGTACTCAAATGAATTCTGTTTGGTTGTAACGGTTGCAATAAAGGCATAGATACTCGCCACCTGTAGGCCAAAAAAATCTACATGCCCATATACAGTAATATGTAAAATAGAATAATAAATGTGTGAAAGCCTGTGTTCTGCAATAGGTGTAGGAGATACGTTGGGAAGAAGTACACATGACTCGTGTTTGTTTTAATGAGACAAATTTCATTTGTTTTAGCATGTCTATCAATGAGGACCTTGCTGTGTGAATGATCCATATTACCCCTGGCATCGGCCAAAGACTTGTTCTGTGCCGTGGTCGATGAAAGCAGGTCAGCTACTTTATTTCTAAGGTTTAAGCCATCTAATTCTATTAAGACGAGTGACTCTTGGCCTTGAACTCAAGTTCAAATAAAACTAAAGGCATGATCAACCTAGGTCCTTGTAAATTAAAGGACATAGTCGATATGGTTAGTACAGCAATATTTTGTATATCGACAGTAACGCCGTTGTAAGTTCTTAGCCATGATTCTGTGAAGGCTATTGAACAAGAATGCCGCTCACATTTACAAATGGATTGTCATCAGGTTTAGGACCATATCCAATAAGCGTGAGACTGGGACGTAGATAGCTAGTTCGAACATCGAGGTCGCTCTGACGGCTTCATTATTCATTAAATACCCAGGATTAAGACCGCTTCTGCTGAAAAGTCTAGATGAGTAGACCGACAGATCATCGATTCTGGGTGAGAGCCTACCATTCTGAAGTTTCGCGATAGCTCATGTGCTCAGTCACAAGTTCAAAAATACCAAACTCCACGCTTGAGCTTGTTGATCAAGCTTCCCCCAAAAGCCTAGCGGTAATGTCCCCCAAGTAGGCCTCCTCTATTTCATAATCTTCACCACTATTCCGGTCGATATTGACATATATGAATGCTTCCACAACACGGTCAATATCAAAACCCATGTTCACAAAACGATCAATCAGGTTCCTATTGTAGCCTTGATATCTTGTAATTATCAGCGGTTTACTGACCAACGCTATCTACCCAACATACCGTAGTGCTTGTTGACGATATTCTTCTTCTCGTGACATAGCTCTGTAGGGTTTTTGCTTGGCTGGATATGAGTGGCGGGAGCTTTGTATTTCCCAGTTAGTTGATCTTGGTGCATCTGCATACTTTATTGCCCAATCTCGTGCTACACGCTGGAACTGCTCGGGGTCATTCATCAACATTTTAGCAACCTCAGCATCCTGCGGATCCTTGGGTTCAGGTGTGGTGAGGAGCGATTGTAAGGAGAGCAGCGTAGATTTGATAGTAAGAACAGGTGACCAAGCAGTGCCGAGTGTGTCGAGACAGATTGCACCCTAGTAATATTAGAGATAGTTATGTAAGTGGAACATAGTACCAACTGTCTGACTACTGACATTAGGATGCCATAATTTTGTCTTGAAACGCATTTGAGGTGGTCGAAAAGGGTACTCGTTAGGTATTTTTATTTCAATGATAAAAGTACCTCCTTCATACGGTGTATCGGGTGGCCCTGGAAATGTAGCTTGCAGATGTGAAAGATCATGGCCATCTGCTGCCTGAGCATGGATCCTAGAGTCCGTATCACTCTGGATGTCTGCCAGCTCTTTCGCAATCCTTCGGAGTCTATTCGATGCCATGGTGATAAATTGCCGGCTATGTAGAATCAAGTAACAAGAAGATAGTCAAGAGTCCTGATTCCGAAGTTTATTCTGTAGAGATGGAGGAGACTGGGCCTATTAGAAGAGATAGCACTTGGAATAAATGTGCTAAGATATAAGCCTAGCCAAGTTCAAATCTTAACAGTACCATATGCCTTGAAAGGTTAGAGACTGCCACCTACTCAGGGCAGGAAGGTTCGCAGAATCAGTTAGTTATGAATTAAAATATTTAGTAATTCGGGACAAATCTAGCGTAGGATATATGACTAGCACTAGTTCTGAATAAGCTTATCTCTTATTGTCGAAGGAAATTGTTCCGCAAAATGGCTTATCGTTGTGGTCTAGGAGGACTAATCGATTTATACATACTCAACTTCACGCAGTACTCTTATCCGATGTGCAGCCAATTATGCCTTACGTCCCTTGACATAGTAAGGCTTCTACGCTAACCTAGCTTGATAGGTGCTTAATGTAGCCAACTAGCATGCGGCTCTATTCATAGTCACAGATTGTGTTGAATTCAAGTTTCACTTGAAATAGTCTACAAGCCGAATCAATAAATTCTGAGCTAGTCGACCATCTTCATCTATACCCGTTAAATATGGTGAGCCTAAAACTCAGCTATTGGATCAAATTTCATAACAAAAATAGGGAAACCAACCATCTGGTCTCGGCGGCTCTGGCCCTAACGGAGAAAATAATCAAGATAAAGACAAAAAGGCAAATTATTACATGTAAATTTCAATGGTATGTTTCGCTAAAACCCTCATAGAAAGAAAAGCCAAAGTATGAGCCACCACCAAGACCAACGACCAGAATCGGAGCCAAGAAACGTAAAGCAGCAGGACCAAACGCAGCTACAAATTTACCAGCCGTATACCCAACATCTCGATGCAAGTTAAGATACCTCCGAATGCAACGAATACACGACCATCTTCTTCTTGAGGAGGAATACGTTGAGAATCAAGAACGATTACGAAAGGCTAAGGCGGCAAAAGAAGGAGGCTCATCCACCATATCTACAGCAGACCTCGATTCGCTAGATAGAGATGCCGATGAGCGTAGCAGAGTTGATGACTTGAGGGGAACACCAATGGGCGTTGGAACCTTGGAAGAAATGATCGACGATGATCACGCTATAGTGTCCAGTACTACTGGCCCTGAATATTATGTCTCTATCATGTCTTTTGTCGATAAAGATTTACTGGAGCCTGGAGCTAGTGTTTTACTACATCACAAATCAGTATCTATTGTCGGTGTTCTCACTGATGACGCTGACCCCTTGGTTACAGTTATGAAACTAGATAAAGCCCCTACGGAATCATACGCAGACATTGGTGGATTAGAAGCCCAAATACAAGAAGTTAGGGAATCGGTAGAACTTCCTTTACTTCACCCAGAACTTTACGAAGAAATGGGTATAAAGCCACCTAAGGGTGTCATACTTTATGGAGCTCCCGGTACTGGGAAAACTCTTCTAGCCAAGGCAGTAGCAAATCAAACAAGTGCTACTTTCCTACGTATAGTTGGAAGTGAACTTATTCAGAAGTACTTAGGTGATGGTCCTCGACTTGTGAGACAACTTTTTCAGGTATGTAGAGTTGATTCCTGGCCGTGACTACCTCTAAACTTTCTCAGGTTGCCGCAGAAAATGCACCCTCAATCGTATTTATTGACGAAATTGATGCTATTGGTACCAAACGTTACGAGTCAACGTCTGGAGGCGAAAGAGAAGTTCAGAGAACTATGCTGGAGCTTTTAAACCAACTTGATGGATTCGATGATCGCGGTGACGTCAAGGTTATTATGGCAACAAACAAAATCGACACCTTGGATCCTGCCCTCATTCGTCCCGGCCGTATCGATCGAAAGATTCTCTTCGAAAATCCTGATCAGGTTACGAAACGCAAGATCTTCACCCTTCATACTTCTAAGATGTCCTTAAATGAGGATGTTGATCTAGAAGAGTTTATTGGCCAGAAAGACGATTTATCTGGTGCTGATATTAAAGCTATTTGTTCCGAAGCAGGCCTTCTGGCCTTGAGAGAAAGAAGAATGCGAGTACAGATGGAAGATTTCAGGACTGCAAGGGAACGTGTTTTAAAGACAAAAAGTGAGGGTGAACCTGAGGGACTGTACTTGTAATTTGAACGTGAAAACTCTAGATTTTATAAACAGTAATTGTAATTTCTAGCTTGGATCCTCCAACCATCAGGGATTAATTCCATGTAGAGCACAGCTAGCTTGAAGCCACGAATAAATAGAATTACAAATAGTCGTGTATAAATTCCCACACTTCTCTAGAGAAGTTTATTGGATGAGTCTTGTGTTGCTTTCACATGTGGAAAGAATTTCGAGATTCAGGTATCCATGCCTAAGGAATCAAGGACACCATAATCGTATTTAATGATCTGAATTTGAAATTGATTTCAATATCCGGATTTGGCGCCCTGTGGGTCCATGCAGATGCCTACTGTCTACAATATTTACCCGGAAGTAAACCTTTATGGTGAAAACCTCCTACACCTTTCTTTTTGTTGTCTATAGTTCTCACATATTTTCTTCAGGAAGCGCAGTTACACTACAGTTCCTTCCATGTAAACTAACCAGATCATCTCTATCCGCCCTGAGCATTATTTGACCTTTCCCTTTCCCTCAGCAGTATTTCGACCGCCTTTGTCATCTGGAATTGCTCTATCCAACCATGATTTAGGATCCACTTTGTTATCCTTTTGATATCTCCAGGATTGCTTAGCATAGCTTCGTAGGACCGATCTTTCGCTTGTCTCCAGATCTCTCCTCTTCCGTTTGACCATCGAGGGCAGGACATAATCATGTGCTTGGGGTTCTGCGATTGGTAGCTATATGGACAGCTTGGACTGTAGACTCCGGGTACTTTTCTTCTGTATAAATACGTGTTGAGCCCCATGTGCTCACTTCGTATTTGCATCGCCAAACTGCTTTGGGCCCTTGTCAGATTACGGTGTAGGAAGAATGGTGAGCCTTGAAAACTCAGTTTTTGCCGTCCAGCCTCTCTACTTTGGTAAAATGTGGCTGCTCTCCAAGTTTCGGAATCTACAGTTGCTAACTACCGAGGCTCGTATTTGGGGATCATTTTACGTGGTTTTCACTGAATTACGGCACGTGATCTATAACTTACGTTACTTCAGAGACAATTCTAGTCGGATTGTTGATCTTACAAAGCCCTTCGATGTATTGATCCTGAGAATTTGCTCAAACTATTTTCTTCAGTATTCGCCAATGGGTAGTTAAATACTTTTTGTTGTGAAGGTAAACCGTTGGAAAACCGAATATTCTTGCACGTTGAACTTACAACAAACATCTTGTATTGACCCTATAGAACATTGGCATGCCTACATAATCAGATTCTTGGTGATCAAGAAATTTGATCTCTCTCGTGAGAAAATAAATGATTTAGTTAGATTTGAGAACACACTGCGTTCAAAGTTCTAGAGTGTTATTCATTATGTTGAAAATTTGACATACTTTCCGTAGTTCGATTTTTTGCATGACTAAGCAAAAGTTTATATTTTGTATTGTGGGCAAGGTGAGACTAATGTGCTGCCTTATCGATCCTTATATGAGGTAAGCTATGATTTTCATTGGAGGGCAAGACTGTACACCTGTACGCGGTGTCCTCTACGAACCTCGGAGTGAAATATTCTCCCAGAGCCAAGTTCAGTCGAATTTCGCAATATCAAAGAAGTTGGCCCACGAGGCAATGATTCAATTTACTCCTCCATGTCGTTTTTTCGCTCTCGATGAGTTTGTCGCCTACCTAAGTCCCACCAAGTCTACAAGTACATCCTAGTACATCCTCATCCCAATGACCATACCTCTCGTCGACTTTCCCTGGCCTCAGTTGAACACCAAATACATACCCTCGCTGATATTTACACCCGATGGAGGAAGCAAAGCGTGGGGCACAAATCTGGGAGACAGTTCTCTGGGACTGGCGTGAGAGGATTCAGGACAAGTTTACAAGATGATGTAGAGGATGAATATAGTTCCGACGGGCGCGGAATTCTGAATTTTGGCAAGGAGTATCTACAAATTGGGCTTTGTGCACGCCAAAACATCGAGTGCGAGAGTGTAGGCCACACTATAAGCACCGCTATTTTTGGATAGTGCGTCGATACATCATCCAGGCCGGTTTCTAGATTAGAGTCTGGATAGCTTGGACACATATCCCACTTGAGACAGTAGATCGCTGGTTAGAATCCAGCAAGACAAAATCACTTTTCTCGCGGCGCTGGTTTGCATGGATGGCGAAGGAATGCTTGGATAACCAAAGTGTTTGAAATTCCCTTTGGTGGGTACTAACGGAGGAGGGTCGACTGTTTGTGTGAACGAACATACCTCGTAGTGGTATTTGCGAATGAAATCCAGAGTATAAGTGTCACTAACGTCAAATGAGTCGTCCAATATGCACACGTAATACCGGTCATGTGTCATAGCTATATAGCTGCACACACATTAAATGATTTAAAAACGCTAACACAGGATACACGCAATCTCCGTTCGCGAAATATCAGTCGGTCGAGACTACTAATTATTGAGCCTAGTAGGATCGACAAAGTGTATCCCAACACAGGAATGATAGGAAACTCAACAACCAAACCCTACGTCGATAACTGCCATTAACCATCACCTGACTTATTTCTGTACTCCATATTTTCAACACTAATGAATCTATGACTATGAAAGAACATGTAGGTCTTTTCTGCCTACAGGATGTGAGTATCTATGCCTCGGGTAGTGTACTACCTCCTTTGCCTCCTTCACGACTTCTTTCCAGCAGTAATACCCCTACAGGTCTTCATTCGAATACACACTGAGAGGAGTCGTCATCTAGTCATTATCTTCTCTCTCCAGCCAACGAAACGACGGCCATTTGCGGGTGCAAGGCTGCCGGGAAAAATCGCAAAAACTACTGGGTGCGGAGCTCTCCAAATATCGACATCGGGACTAGATCTGAAGACGTAGTAACCCATCTGAAGCGTTCGAAGAGGCCGGCCAGCTGGGCGCTGCAGACTTGTGGGTACCTCGGAGAATTCACACTCTGCCTTTCTAGCCTCCTTCCACCTCCATCCCGAAGGTCGTGCTGAAATGTCAGAAAAGTCTTGACAGAGCGTGATTGCTGTATAGTAGCTTAGCCAAACTTCTTCTGTGCCGTCCAGGGCGCTGGGGAGTGCCGTTGACTCATCGACAATAGAAGCCCTCCTGGCTAATTAGCCGAAATCTCAGTCTTGGCGCCCACAAAAAATCCAAAGTTGAATATCCCTCGAAAATGTCAGACCCAACACGGTCTCCACAGACCCCTTTCCACCCTCGCTCCACAACTCAGCAGCCTGTCCTTCCTCAATATGTATAACCCCATTAGAGCGGCAGTCCCCCACAAGCCAAGACCCCAACTTTATATATTATGACTTAATTTGCTCCTTGCGGGTATACGTAGCGTCGAAAATTTGTAGTGAGTGATGGTCAGTAATGAATGAGGCAAGCTCCTGTCTGCATTTGTGGTGACGCTTGTTATACTCAGCTCTGTAGTATGGTAGATCTAGTAGGTGGTACATAGGTAGTTATTATGGCAGCATGGCATTATGGCGCATGGAGGAGATCCAGTCTCTACATAACGACATTACATGTAGTAGTGTGTGCAGTACGAGAGATGGGTTGTTGATATAGGATAAATGGCATAGTTGCTCAGTTGGTTGCACACTTTGGTGAGCTGCATACTGGTAACGTGATCGGTCTACAAGCGAACAAGCCAGAGGATGAGGGACAAATTTCCCTCTGTCTGTAACATAACAATTATCATAGCAACTTCACTTCTGGACACACTAGTGAAGATATCTTACCACAAACTATCTTAGCTGTTCCAGCGCAAGTGTAAATTCCTAAATCATATTCCAATCATAATAACACCTCTATCGGTCGTTAAGGCGAGATGTTATGTTGTTAGATCGATGATGAGATCCCAGAAAATAATGGTGAGTGCTGCAAGATTGAGAAAACGTCAAATAGAGATATGCATGTGTTTGATTTCGACTTCGATTCGGATGCGATTCTCCTTGGCTATCCCAGATATGCAGAGCATACTGAGCGATTACACTGGCACCACTGGAAGGTGAAAATTTCGTCTTTGCCGGCACATCCACCAGCTTGAACGGAGCAAGCGAGGTCTAGCTTATTGTGTGTGTGGTTTATTGTGTTACTTGATTCCATGAAAATCTGGCACATCGAGTTTCTCTCTGTTCTAAGACACAACTTGTACATTGCTCCTTTCCTATTTTTTTACTTGTTAGAGCATTGTTATATTGCCCGTGATGTAAAGCCGTTCAGCTTAATGTTTACCTGTGGAATTCAGCCACCTTTCCATGAAAACTTCCACTCAAAAAAAATAAAAATGGTAGCAATGGAAAAAACGTGCGCGAGAAATAGTCTCCAAAAACCTGTAGCCCCAGCCTGGCGAGGCCTAGACATCGGGACCACAAGAGGTGCGCATGTTGATCTATATCTCCCTTCTTTGTAACATTAGAGGCCGACTTGATCCAATCTACCATCTCCGTATCGGGAGCTGGGTACGCTCCGGAAACTTATTGGATGGTCTTTCCTCTACAATCAAAGGTTGATCATAGGGGGACTATTCTGAACACCTGTCAGTGGTGTCCCCTACTAACCTCCAGCTCTCACTATAGAGTCTGCAGAGTCGTGAATGAGCAATACCTTTTCAACTTTGAGCTGAGTTACATGCCCCTCCGTCAAAGATACGCTTCCAATAATACATAAGACGACCAAGACGACGATAATGATGCTAGTAATGGGAAAAGATAATGCGGCAACAAACGCTACAATGGTAGTCAGAGAAGCCCTTGTTATATCACAACATGTGCTTCCCACCGGCGGGCGAACAAAAATCCCATGAAAGCAAAGTAAAAGACCCTTCCACCCTCAAGAAAAGCAGATTTCGACTCGTCAACAATATCGACTCTTCTAGCCAGGAGAGCATATGAAATATATCAGTTACCCGACGAACCCACGCTCGTAACGACTTTTGGATATTAGGCCAGGCTCCTTCACGGCAGTCATTCTCGACCAAGACTTTTCTGACATCCTTTCAC